GGTTTGCTGCCACCTCTCCTAGCGCCGTGACTTCTCCTTGTTCTATTGTAAAGACCTCCTGGAACCTTTTGTTGAGTTCCTCACACACCTCTTTGTCATTCTCTGTGTATCTGTCCTCACCCATCCTAAGTTTCATCACCTGTTCCTTCACTGTTGTCTTCCTCCTGATGTGACTGTGTAATAGTTTTGGTTCGGTCTTGGCTTTGTTAGCTATATCATACCTTTCCATACCTTTTCTCAGCTACTCTTCTCACACTAACATACTCATTCCTGTTTCTCTGGTATCTCTCTCTACTTTCAGGTGTTCTGTTATTACGGAAGTTCCTCCATGCTTTTTTGTTCAGCTCCTTTGCTTTCATACATTCCCTAGTAAACCATGAATTCTTCTTTTGCTTCTCTGTTTTTTTTCTGTCGGGCCGGGACAAACCTGCTTACAGCCTCCTGACACTTTTGGGTGACATAGTCCATCATGTCTTGTACGGACTTGGTTCTGAGTTCTGTGTCCCATTGTATATCCCAAAGGAATTTATTCATCTCCTCATAGTTTCCTTTTCGGTACGCCAGCCCTTTGTTTCCCAGTTCTTTTTTGGGGAAGATAATTCCTAGCTCAACCAGGAACTCAAAGCACAATACACTATGATCACTCATTCTCAGAGGGGCTTCCAACTTAACTTCCCTTATATCCGACTCATTTAGGGTAAATATCAGGTCAAGCAAGGCTGGTTCGTCCTCTCCTCTCATTCTTGTCGGCCCCTAGACGTGTTGACTTAGAAAGTTTCTTGTTGCCACGTCCAGCAGCTTAGCTCTCCATGTGTCCGGTCCTCCATGTGGGTCTCTGTTCACCCAATCTATCTTCCCATAGTTGAAGTCTCCCATGATTAGTAGTCTGGATCCGTTCCTGTTGGCCACAGAAGCCGCTCTCTCTATTATATTATGGTGGCCACGTTGATTCTATCATATTCCTGTCTGGGTCTTCTGTCGTTCGATGCGGGGTTATATATGACTACTACTATAATTACACACACTGTGTGTGTGTGTGTGTGTGTGTGTGTGTGTGTGTGTGTGTGTGTGTGTGTGTGTGTGCGGTTACGTGGCTGACGTGTTAACATAATTTTGGTAGATTTTTGTGGTGAGTGACAGCTGATCACTCTGTCGAGTAACGTAAATTCTCGGGGGTAGTTATCGATCCGTAGGATCGCTAATCACTCACCCAAGTTGATTCAGGAGTGTATGTGATCTCCTTAGTGTTCCCATTAACGTTTTGATAGCCAAAGGCTACAGCTGTCAGTAGGTACATAATTATATATGATCCTAGTGTCACGAAGCAAGTGTGTTAATTACTGTGGTTATTGCAACAGAACAGTAAGGTGTTGTGCCGTGTTCTAATATATTGGAAATCAGAGCACTTGCCGTGAGTGTTATTGCAAAGGGGTTGTAACTATTGGGTCACGTGATTGTTGCTAGTGTTGATCAATCACCGTGTATGTTATTGCAGTCAATAAATCATTGTTGGGCCGTATTCAAGTTGGTTAGAGCACTGAGCGTTATTTACTGGTGTTTTGCAGTATTGTAATTGCAACCGGATGTTATTACAAAGCACTGTGATTTGTTATTGTGATTCATCATTGTCGTGGGTGAACTTGGGCATTGAGTCAAGTACTTGGTGGTAATATTTCCTGTGTATCTGGTAGGACATCGAAGTCCAGTATTCAGTGAGGTGATTGCAAAGCAATTAATGTAACATAACCAAGGGAACACCTATAGCTTTTGGGAGAATTTGTTCTTTAACAATTTGAGGAACGTAAGATACGTTTGGGTTAATTATTTCCTAGGAACAGCAAAGTATTGTAACATTCCGGGAGGGCTGAATCTTACTCTTAATATTGTCTGTTGTAATCATCGGTCAGTGGGCAGGTAATTAACGGGTTCTAGAAAGTCAAAGTAATTAACTTCGATCAGGATTGATCGACTCACAAGAAGGCTCCATTGTTCCATTAAACGTAACGTCGGTTATTGATCTGTCAGAGGACAGGTAACTTGATTGACTCGTGGGAAGAGTAACGTCATTGTAAAATAATGCAGACGTGGTGATTAATTATCAGCTCGTGGGATTCGTATATTAGTCACCTGAATCCGTCGTGGTATGGAAGACCCAGACGGAGTTCATACCATTAATGTAAATTGCTGAGCCAGTGTGAAAGGTTACGTATTTTGTATTAATTAATAATTGATCTTTCGGGATAGTAATTAATTGGTCGAGGGCAGTCCAGGGTGATTGCCGTTCTCTTAGCACTTTAGATATTATGATTGGAGTAAACTATCAAAGGGGGCGATAGTTACCGATAACGTAGCTAACGTAACTCGTGCAGGGATTAATCAGTTGTCTGGAAGTACAGGGATTAATGGGGATTACTCACTGAATGTTCGACGGGTAGATTGTTTGTGTAATTTCCGAGTTACTAGTAACAGTTGTAAGTTTGATTTGTCTGTGGGAGACAAGATTAAGTTATTGTTGTCCCCTAACTCCCCTGGCCACTTCGGGGGGGGGGGGGGAGGGGGGGTAATAGGGTGTTTATGTAGCTTCAGGGCACCAATCCCCCCAGCCACAAGGCATGGCGAGAAGGCACTCCTAAACATACCTAATTCCCTATCAAACACAAACTAAAACACATAAATGGCAGATCTCATCTCAACCCACAAGAGTTAAGATGATACTAATAATACACAATAATTACATGAAAATAACATACACAAATTGGAAAATTCTTTTGTATTGGTTTTTCTTATATGGGACACGGCACACATAGGGAGAGGTGCACAGTATATCATTAAAAAAAACTAAAGCTGAAGGCAAAACAACAAGCTGCCTAAGCGGCAGGATTGGCGACTTGACATCGGCATACATGGAAAAAACTATTCATAGTGGAAGCTCCTAACAAGGCCCCGGAGCGGGAGCGATATCATGTATGCGCATGGGGGTCCCTCCGGTCACCGCCTTACCCACTCGTGGGCTCCGGCCTTGCTCCGGCCTCCGGTCATCCACCACCTTGTGAGAAACCATTTGGAGAAGTGGTACTCCAGATGACGACTCTGCTTAGATAGTTGGCTGCCAGCTATTCTGGCTGCGGTTCACTTGAGCAAGACTATATTAACCCTTATGCACCCCATGCAAGGTGATCCTGGGACTAAAGTGGTCTGCCCCTACGTAAATGTTACTTTGATATTAACGCAAATCTATTTGTTATTGAATGTTGATCATCCGAGGGACGAAGAGTTAACGTAAGAATTTAATTAAGGAAGGTTGCTGGAGATGCTAGTAACTCCATTAGTCATTCTCATATCATTGATAGGCTACTAATTTGATTGCATTGCAACCGCCATTGCAGGTGTAGGCTGCAAGAAGCGTAGGGAACTAATAGGAGGTTAGAGGAGGCGTGTCTCCTAGCCTACCGTGTCATTGTTGCAATAGTGATTATAGATTAGTATGTCTTGCTTGCTTGATTGATTCCTCTGTGTTCACACCGCCTGTTCAAGCTAGTTCATTTTGCAGCCCGAAGGGCTGGTGTCTAGCTGTCAGTGAAAGTGTCACAGGAATGATTTTGAGTAATGTTATTGATATTTCTTTCGTTGTTAGTACTTTGTTGAATAAACTATATTGTTATGTTGAACACTTTTCGTTACACCCCCACACATTTCATTGCTACACTATTGTTCTGCCACTCGATTGTTAAATTGAGACTGCTTCATGAGCTTAGAGCTGAATTCATAGCACTACACAACATAAATTCTGTTGTGAGAGCCCAGGACCTACTTAGATTCGCTCCGGCAAATGACGAAGGTCAAGGGCCTAAGTGGAGGGGATTTCAACTTTTGAGGTCCCGGCGCTTGCTCGCGCCTAGTCAATTGTTCTTCTATGGTCCCAGAGTGAAGAATGAGCTGCTTACTACCCTTGGTGTGTTAGCTAAGCAAGTCCTTCCTCAGGCGACCCATCCTGACTTTCAAATAAAGTCGAAGGATGTAATAGTGGAATATCACGACGGGAATAAGGTTAAAGGAGTTAAGGATTTTTTTTTTTAGAAATTATCCAAAATTCAAATACCATTTCAAAATTCCAAACTCAAACTCACAAGGCTCTTCAATTGGCAGTTCCACAATCATTCATACAATTATTATTACAAATTACTGAGAGCTATCAAGGATTCTCATATTGTACTCTGTCAGGATACAATTACATAAGTGGTTTATATCGAAGGAAAATCGTACATTTAAGGATTGATAACATAACATTTGAAAATACACACGAGTCCACCACTTTCATAGGTAAAGCCAAATATAATCTTTTATGACAAGAGATTGCAAACAGAACATTCATTTAAGATCCAACAGAGTTGAACACTTCAGTAACGTTCAAATATCAGCAAATACTGGATGAATTGTCAAAGAAAATTTGTTGCATTAATTCCTAAATCAATTATTTCATTATTAACGAGTCAGAATACTACTGTGGAGGCGGTCGCCTAGGGGTTAGTACGACCGACCACGTGGTGTGACAAAGATATGATATAATATTGAAGACAGAAGCTCACCTTGAGCCATAGTCTTCTGGGAGGATGGATTGAAATGATGCTAGGCTTCACAAGGAGGGTAGGATGGAAGAGGTCCTCGTAATAAGCCAATATATGATTATCCCAATTCCTAGGAGGGGCGGTAGAAGGTCTACCCTTAGTCAGGAGCGGTTCTATTCGCTAGAGGCCTAGAGGCTCGCTACCCCCTCTAGGCGTGGGATGTGCACAGAGACACTGCTCACGGCCACCGTTCACCAATTAGGAGCCCAACTCTGCCTATGATATACAATGCCCCCACTGGCGGGCACTTTGAATGTGGTTCCCTCTACACCACTATCTAAAATTTAAGTAAATTTTTAACTTTGACGGTCATCACAATAAGTACTTTCTAAACAGGAGGATGGGTTGAGTAATTCACTAAAAATTATTCAGTACCTGAGCATTCTCGAAATGTCTTCCACAACGAGTAACATTGAGTTGGTCCTGGATAAGGTCCTATGGAGGACCTGCAGGTGGTGGAGGGGCAGGCTGGTGACGACCAGGAGCCTGGTTGACCACACCAGGAGGCGACCCTTGAGGGACCACTGGGCGAAGGTGGAGAGGAAGGCCAGGTCGTCACTCGCCAACACCACTGTCACGCACCACGACACCTGCCGCACCTGTTGACATCAACACCACTGTCACGCACCATGACACCTGCCGCACCTGTTGACACCAACACCACTGTCACGCACCACGACACCTGCCGCACCTGTTGACACCAACACCACTGTCACGCACCACGACACCTGCCGCACCTGTTGACATCACTGTCACGCTCCACAAAACCTGCCGCACATGTTGACACCAACACCACTGTCACGCACTACGACACCTGCCGCACCTGTTGACACCAACACCACTGTCACGCACTACGACACCTTCCACACCTGTGGTCACCAACACCTCTTACGAACCCAGCAACATCGTCGAAGTATAGAGTAGCGACGTCAGCGCCATCTGTGAGTCTGCTCTCTGACCCCACAGTATCGGACGTCATATGGACGACGCCATCTAGTGGTGACAGCCTAATTCCTGTAAATTGCTAAAGATTCCTGCCTTGATTAACAAGTACGGTCGTAGTGGGTGACCTCTGGTGATGTGGCGATTCAAGACCAGCACCATCGGTTGTAGCTACAAGCATAATGTCAATGCCCAAGTGAGTTAGTGTTGTTTCTTGGTTTCTCCAGTAACCTATATAACTGATGATGTGTCTGTATCCACAGAGGTGACGTAGGGCAGCAGTGGTACTGAGGACGGCAATCTACCTTGGGCCGCCTAAACTCTCCCAACTTAGTCCTGCCTGACGACTAAGTGAGCCGCCACCGATCAGGAATAATGTGGTTTCTGCTATTGGAGTAGCGGTGGAAGAATTCAGCGTATCCCGGGACTGGCTAAGGGGAGAGACGACCGACAGTGAGGTGCCTGTGGAGAAGCGTTGCTAGTCCGTAGCTAGAGGCTCCTGCCACGGGCCCGATACCTCTGTGTTTGTGTAGTGGCCCCAATGAGCACGTGGCTGAGGTTCACTGCCAGCACTTGGCTGGAGAGTGGTTCTGAGCAGAGAGGCACCTCGTGATACTGCCGGTATCACGAGGCTGGGCCACGGCAAAAGTAGACTCGCCAGTGTGTCCCAGTTGCTGTGACCAGTAAGGTTGGGAACGTTACTGTGTTGGGGAAACACGGAGATTGACGAAGGCTGCATTGTGTTAGCGTCGTGAAGTGCTCGGTGTCCTATGTGAGAGCAACACCTGTATATACATCTAGGTGTAGTAATATTTCATTTTTATGTTCCTATTTAAGGTGATATGAATATATTGATAAAGGAATCAGTGTTGTGTTCATTCTCTCCCCCTTTTATTTATTACATTACCTGGTCAACGCCTTGAAAGCCACTACCGACTTTGGCGAGTCTACCTTTGCCCTAGGCCAGCCTACCGGCAGTATCACGAGGTGCCTCTCTGCCCACAACCACTGTCCAGCCCAGTGCTGGCAAAGAACCTCAGCCACGTGCTGATTGGGGCCACTACACAGACAAATACAGAGGTATCGCACCCCTGGCAGGAGCCTCTAGCAACGGGCTAGTAACGATCCTCAACAGGAACCTCACTGCCGGTCGTCTCTCCCCTTAGCCAGTCCCGGGATATGCTGAATTCTTCCACTGCTACTCCACTAACAGAAACAACACTGTTCCTGGTCGACGGCGGCTCACTTAGTCGTCAGGCGGGACTAAGTTCGGAGAGTTTTAGGCTGCGCAAGGGAGACTGCCGTTCTCAGTACCACAGCTGCCCCACATCATGTCTGTGGACACAGACACGTCATCAGTTATAGGGTACCGGAGAAACCAGGAAGCAACACTAACCCACTAGGGAGTTGACATTATGCTCTGTAGCACAAACCTTGGTGGCTTTGTTCGTGATTCGCTACGTCACCAGAGGTCACTCACAATGACCTCTCTGACTCTCCAAGGCAGGAAACTGGAACCATTTGCTGCTGTCAGGTTACTACCACCAGATGCTGTTGTTTGTATGGCGTCTGATTGCACGGAAGTTAGAGAGCAGACTCACAGATGGCGCTGAAGTCATTACTCCCTGCTCCGATGAGGATGTTGGGTTCGTAATACACCACAACAAAGTTAATAATAATCTTAATCTTACTGGCACTTGTCACTGCGGTTAGATGTTTTTAAGTTAAACAGGTAACAAAAACTTAACAACATGGATTCACTAGATGGCATGTGAAGTGCATCTGAGTTGTGGTCAAAGTGGATAAATGTTGACGGTATTGAAAAGCAGTCACTAAGGATTAATCAAAATTAAAATTTCAAGAGACTCAACAACTACTGAATAACTTATGCGGGGCAACTTCGTAATATTAACATTAACAAAGCAACAAGTCACAGCAACTTAACATTTGCCCTCCAAAACTATGTCCCAACTGAACTGGCAACTGGCAAAGTCAAAACTCATTGCAAAAGTTTAAGTCCCAAATGACTTAAAAAAAAAAAATGACTAAGTCCTCACAAAGGAATATGTATAACACGTCACTTAATCACGAGTTATTTAATTCAAAAAATATATAAATATATATATATATACATAACTTGATCACAAGATCCCGATTCTTCTGCACGCTCGCCAGGGGAATGGACGTTTCTGCTCTCACAGGCCACAGGGACCAATTGTGTTATAGTCGTCAAGGCTCATTACTCTTGGAGGTCAGCCCCACTCTCATCCTGATTATCCGGGAGACGAAGAAGAGCCTCCTTAAGTAATGAGCATTGCTGGGCAGAGCACTAGAAGCCGCTCGACCACTCCACATATGTATTCCAAATTCACTGTGACCCATAGAAGGGAGGGGGGGGGGGGGTATAGGCACTCAGCGATGCTACCATTCACTATAAATGCTTCAAAGTCAGGGCTATCCCCCTCGACGACCATGCATTCACCAAGAGCGTCCTCCTGAAGATCACCAAAAACATCACCGGCGCTACACCCATCGACATCAGCCAAGACGGAGTGGATTTCGTACTCTAATTCAAGAGCGTGGAGTACCTCGAAACACTACAAGAACGCTACTTCGACTTAAAAGATGCGAATTTCGTGACCCACTTCCCAAACCAATTCCTTGGCACAAGAATGGTCTTTATCAGCAAGACCAGCCAATGGATCACGGACAGGCATCTAAGGGAAACCCTCAGCAACATAGAGGATGAAAACCACGCCATGGGGATATTTTCTGGGACGCTCCCCACCCCCCTTTCGGTTCAGCCCATGCTTAGTGGGCAGCTGCCGGAGTGTGATGCTTCTTGAGACAGTCCTCTGTCCTTTTCTAGCCTTGTGCTCCTGCTACCGTCCTCTCCAATTGTGCTGAGCACCTTTTCCTTTTCCTTCTGTTTCGTTTTTCTCCCCCCTCTTCTCCTATCTGCTTGCAGTTTCCTGCCGACCTTTTGCTTGTTTTGGTTATTCCTTTGGACTTCTTCTATTTTGACGCCCGGGTGCTTGAGGAGGCATACTCTTGCACCCGTAGAACTGTAGTACCCAACGTCGAGAGTGAGGGGAACCTTTTATTGTCAATCCCCCTTTCGTCACTGAACCCAATCTCAACGGACTGTCGGTTCTTAAGGTGGCGTTTGTGGGGCGTATACTCACGACGCACCCCTAGGAGGCCCCGGCATGATCAGCGATAGCTTCTTGTTGGGTGTCCTGCCTCTAATTGTGGCTCTATGGTGGGTGTGGGGGGCACATTCGTGAATGAATGTTGATTTTTCGTAGCAATGATATCTACTGTTTCTGCTGTTTCTCCTTTACCTTCTCAGGCTCATGAGGTGGGCGACCAAGCCCCCGAGTCGGTCCGTGTTGGAAGACCGGGCTCTGTAGCCTCCGCTGCATTGGGCCCCGACCTTGCTCCTCCTTTGGCCTCTCTGACTCCTCCCCTCGGCTCCCCTCCCTCCTCTGTGGTTGGATCGAGCCCCAAGCTCCCAGTGGTGACTACCTCGTCCCCTGGCGCGGCTCCATCTCTAGTTGTAACTACTGCGCCTTTTAAACCCTCTCTCTCTGGGGGTTCTCACCGCCGTCTTCGTCACAGCCGCCCTCGCTCGATTCCTTCCCGTTCTGATACCAATCAAGCTTTGTTTGGTCCCGCTTCGTGGTCCAAATATTTTGATCTCCTCCCTCTTGATTCTGCGCCTCCTGACGATTTCTCCCTTCATTGACATCTCGTTGATTCCGTGGATGCCTCTGTTACTTTCAACCCCACTCGTCCACTTTGATGGTCGGACCCTTCCACCCTCTGTCATTCTTGCTGGTGCCAGGTGCTCTGTCCAGGAGTACATTCCTTCTCCTAGGCTCTGTAACAAGTTCTGGAGGTTTGGGCATGGTGCCCTCCGCTGCTCTGTGACTGTCTCTCTCTCTGTCCTTTGTGTGGTGGAGAAGGTCACTCTAAGTTGGAGTGCAGTTCTCCCCGAGCTCGTTGCCTCAACTGCGATGAGGCCCATCCTACCTTCTCCCATGCGTGTGTCCATTACAAGCTTGAGGCAGCCGTTCTCAACTTGAAGCACCGGGAGCGTTTATCTTTTCCTGAGGCGAGGCACCAGGTACGCCGGCTCCCGCCTTATGCTAATATCTCTTGTGCTTGCGTGTTGCGCTCTTCCTCTCCTCATTCTTCCCATCTTCCTCAGACTCGCAACCGTTTCCGGGCCTTGGACCCTGATACGCCCACTGCCCCCTCCTCTGTTCCTTTGAGTTCTGTCCCGAAGGATCCACCTCCTGGTCCTCTGTCTGGGGGTTCCCCTCCTTTCTACCCGGTCTGTCTTGTCTCCTGTGTCTTCTTCCTCGTCTCCCTCCGTTCCTCCTTCCCATCCTTCCCCTCCGTCTCTTGACTGTCCCCACCGCCTGTCGGTGCGGGCTGATGTCCATCGCTCTCCAAACGGCCGTCGCGTGTGCTCTCGTTCGGCTTCTCCTGTTGAGACGCTAGAATCCATTGCCCAGTACGTAATTGCTGGGACGCCTGTCTCTTTACGTCAGAAGTGTAAGCCTGGCTCCTCTCCTTCCTCCTCCCCGGCGGGTAAGAAGGTTTCGCTTTCTTCCTCGGCCCCTACTTCTGCCTCTATCGCTCCTTCTCC